AGATATTTGGGCCAAACTGCTTGTAAATTTACAAACTTTACTTACTTGATGATATTCCAAAGTCAGTAGCAACGGAAAATGTCTAAGTGATATGCGTCAAAATTTATAATTTTTATTCAACAACAAATTATTTTAAGTTCTTTGCAGGCATTCATTTTGCTTAGGTAAAAAGAGTTACGGTTTGACGGGTAAAAAATCATTGAAGATACATCATCTTTCCAGACATGGAATTGTTGCAGAAGCATGGAAAGATACAGTTTCGGTGATTTTTAAAATTTTATAAATAAAGCATAAAATACAGTAAAGTAACAGTACTCTTAATAATTTCTTCTTAAATATTTAAAACCCAAAAATAGCATAAATGATTTGAGTGAACCGATCAAATCAATATTTTCAGTCATTATTTAAATTAATACTTTTTTAGCACGTATATTCAAAGCAGTATTTTGTGATATGAACTTGAAAGTCTGTAGGAAATACAACGTGCATTTGAACCAGTTAAAATTTCAGTTTGAAGGGTTAAATGGTTCTTTAACCTTTGAGAACTTTGAATTTGCTGTAGCTGTAAAAGTTCTTTGGCCGGATATAGACGATTACACTAACGTCGATGGCTTATTTGGATTATTCAGATCATTCACTGTTGCAAATCCTATGTTTACAACAATGATGCAAAATAATATTTTGCCCAGCTTAGGAATTGCTGCGCCACCAATGGTAGTTTTATGTATCACATATTTTTTTATTAACATTTCAAATACAAATTTTAAAATACTATTATTATTATTATTGATTATTATTATTATTATTATTATTATTATTATTATTACTATTATTATTGTTAATTGTTATCGTTATTTATTATTGTTAATTATTACTACACGATTTGTATAAGGCTTTTTTTTAACTTTAAATTGCAATAACATATTAATTATCTGAGATACAGGAATCAAGAAAAAATAACTCTACAACTATTATAATAAACTTCACAGTTCATAACACTTTACTTAACAAAGTACAAATTACTATTTTATGAAATAGTAAACAATAGAACAATTAAAATATTCATCCTGTACACAGGAATGGAACAAAGATGCGGTTCTAACTTTGGGTGGATTTGATCAAACTTTATGCGATACTAATAATCCATTGTTGTTAGCACGACATTCTCGAATTCTAGCATTTCCTTATTCTGCTATTTTATTTGGCAAGACTGCATATCAACCACAGTTTGAACTGTGCTCTGCTTTTATTTGTGCCAATTCTCCATATATTAGTGTAGCATCAGCTTTCATGGATAGTATTGTTCGAAAATACAATTTACAGGTCGGGTGGATATTAATAGTTAATCAATTCCAGTTTTACTATTTCTGTTCGAATTTATTGTAATTATGTCTAAAACTTTCAGTACAATGGGCAGACAAGGAAATATTTAACAAAATCGAACAATATGCCTCGTTTTTTGAATATTTATCTACACGAAAACGAAAACAATCGCATGCATGTTCTCAACATTAATCTGAAATATCTTATCAAAGAATATAATGTTAGTTGAAAATTTTCAATTATTCATAAATTAACTTTCTATTATAACTTTTTTGTCTTGTTATTAATAGATAAAATAGGAAAATACATGGACAGAAATAGTTTGGAAATGTTATCAAAAAAGTTTTTTCCTTTAATTTATTTCAAATTATTTTCAATTTGAATTCAAATTCATAAATATGATTTAGGCCTTGGTTTTTTTTACTCGAAACATTTTTATATCATACTGTAAGGAATCTTTCAGATTACACATAATGAATTACTGATTCGACCCCATTTGAGCCCACAGAATACATTTATTCACCTTGGGTTACCTTTTCTTCATTCTTATTGCATACTACAATCTCATAATAACTCTCTTTTCTTTGCTTCTTACAAAAATTAATCAAAACTTATCTGTACTAATATAGCTCAAATAAACTTATCCATAATTTGAAAGTAAATTAAAGGTGTAACTGTAAGTGGTCGCTTGCAATTAGTCAGCTCATAAAGATATATTGTGGGAAATTAAAAGTTTGGTCGATAAAACAAGCGTATTTGTAACAAATTAACGTTCATTCGGATGTGAAAAATCAAAAATAGTTTAATTTTTTCAACTTTAAGCACAAATGAATCATTTGTAATGCTTGGTTAAATGCTGCGCACATTAAAAGTAAAATTGAGATTTTGATGCGATAGCAGTTACTTACAAAGCAAAATTGATAGATCTTTTGTTGCGAAAAACGTATCTGAAGCTAACTTGCGAGAATTGAAAAGTTAACTGCGTGTAAATGCATAATTTATTTTAGATAAAAATTGCATATTTTTCTGTTTTATTACACATAGAAGCCAAGTACTTTCATGCTTGCGTATTACAGAAGTATTTTTGATCTACAATTTGTTTTGTTTATATAACAAAGTTATTCTGTCGAAGTGCATGTAGTGTATTTTTAGCACATTAAAAGAATAAAAAGCAATCAAATTTATAGTAAAATTATCAACAGATTTGTGATTATCGAAATAATAATAATTATTGTATTTAACAGCTTTCATACAAAAATTAGAAAACTTTTGCTTGTAATATTCAGCAACGAATAATTTTTAATTTTCCACAAATACCTTTAAAATTTTTAGAGACAGAAAAAAGTGTAACTTTTATGCAAATGAGCTTGCCATTGAATTTGTTTTAGAAAAGTCTTGAAAGTAATTTACTTTTCAAAAATAGCAATCACAGAAGAATAATGGAATGCAATCGCAAAATCCTTATGTTGACTATGCAGTCCAAACACTACTTTAGTCTTTTTTTTGTAAATTATTTTCCAAAATTGTAAAATATATACCACCGGTGATTTTCTTAAAAAATTCTTTAATTATAAATTAGAGCTTACAGAACCAAACTTTACTCACTGTAAACTTTGCAAATATTAGTAAACTTCCTCCTACAGAAACTTACTAAAGTATAGTGATTTTGCGTATAAGTGAAAAAAAATTCACGTGGTTTTGGCAGATTGCTGTTCTAAAGCTTTTGATTTCGGTGATCCAATATTTTTATCACTGAAATAAAGGAAAATAATAATACTTTATCAAGGATATTTTCACTTGATGAAGTTTAAAAATAATCATTAGAAATAAAGTGTGACAAAAAGTAATGATAACTAATAAACAAGAAGAATTTAAGCTAAACGTTTTTAAAAATCGCTATTTTCGATTAATAAATTAGGTCAAATTCAAAATAGATAAAATTTTTTTTAGACTTTCTCAACATATATCCTTCAATTAATATGAGAACATTATTTTGATACAGATTCCAAACTTCTCATTTTCTTATAGTTAAAGGTCACCCCAATCACTAAGTACTTGATTTTTTAATTCGCTCATCTCTGTCAATTACTTATTTGTGTTAATTTGAACATTAATATTTTTTGACTTAGTATTTGGTTCTAATATAAAATAAATTATTACTTAATGTATGTTTTCTGTACTGTGTTGTTAATACAAAAATATCGGTGTCAGCTCGTTCTTACTTCTTATTTTTATGCGGAAAATGGTATCGCCTAATTTATGAAAAAGAAGTTGAAATGCTGTCGGTCTGATGATTTGCGTAATTACGTATGTTCTCTGGACTTTTGATCACTAGTAGTTTTTGCTGAATGTGACAAAAATCCAGTAATCTGTATTGTTTTATACTGTCAAAAATCCAGTAATCTGTATTGTTTTATACTGCTTAAAGTTTTGTTATAAAATCTTTTTCGTTTCTTTTCGATTAGTGCAGGTAATTTACAAGGCAATTGAAATTTGACCTTCTACTTAGAAGTATTTTCTTGAAGTTTCTCTCCAATGAATTTGTAATAAACAAACACAGCTGAGACAACTTTATTCACAAACAGTATTTGCAGGAACAAAATGCTTAGAACAAAAACATTGCAATATTTCGATTAACAAATGTTTAAGACAAAATTACAAAAAATAGTTACAAAATAAATATTATAATGCAATCTAAATTTCTAAAAAAATACTTTACATTCAATCTACGAAATGAATATTAAACGAAGCAGGCTTGAAAGTTATAATTATTAACAATCCCAGACCTGATGGACCTACCTTACCAAAGGGCTACTTTACACAATATTGTAATAAATGGAGTGAATGCTCTTACTTGATAATACATTTGGGGATAGAAATATTTGATCTACTTTAAACTAGATGTCTCTAGATTGATCTTCTATCATGAATGTGTAGTAAGTATGTCTATATACATTAATCATCGTGTAGTTATTTTTTTGCAAACCATGAGAAACACATACTCTTATCTTTGCATTATCATGCACTTTTACATTATTACGCACGTCATAAAATGCATAGACGTCTTCCAGTAGATCACTTATTTTTCTAGAAATTATAGCAGATGACAGACGTTATTCCTCTAGAAGTTGCTGAGGGTATTCATACTGTCAAATTTTTTTGTTTGCAAAAGGTCTAGTTTTCTTTATTGATTTCAAATTTCGTCAAATATTTCTTAATTGATTGCTATCAAATAATGTAAAAGATATTTCAGAATCCACGACTCACTGCATCAGAGCTGCAATGTATTTTATGTTGATATTTTTATCCACTGTGAATTCTGCAGATATTTGAAAGTAATGAATGAGCGCATCCATTGCGAAGGAAGAAGTAGTGAGGTTTGTGAATAAGCCCGTAATTTAAATAGCTAGGGCTAATCTCACAGTTTTGCACGGCGATGTGCTTCATAAGTGTCTACTTTATCAACTCTCAATGATACTTCGTGTCTACAACGATTATGACGGGTAATGATAGAGGCTCAACTCCCGTGAGAAACAACTACCACATCCGAAAAGACAGCAGGTTCGCAAGTTACCCACTCTCGACATGAGGAGGTAGTACGAGAAAGAATGACTACGCTGTTCGAGGTCAGATATCAGATTAAGTGCAGGTGAAACTCGCTAAAGAGAATAATCTATGAAAGGCAAGACTGGTGCAAGCAGCCACGATAATTCCAGCTTTCAACGTGTATATATCATCATTGCTACAATTCGTACTTGCATCTGTGCCCTTGGACTCGATTCAGTTTTTCATTATATCAACAGAGAAGGGTTTTAAGAAGTGATGTGAAAATGGCACTCATTCTGTACTGATCTCGTGTGAAGCTCGATACGTAAGTTCATAGTTCAACTTTCAATCAATTTTGAAGTAAAAACGTACAGATACTCTCATTGAATAATAATTTTATTCTTTTTATTTTAATTTCGAATTATCAAATTTTGAGAGCTTACTTTATCCCTTCTGTTATAACTTTATCTCATAATTAGTAACTTTCAGTGCTTGAGAACTGCTCGAAAAGCAATTGGCCTGCAATTGCTTTTCGAATGAATGAGAGAAGCTGTTCGAATGTTGTGCGACAGCTTTGAGTCAGATTCAAAAAATTTTTGGTAAGGAATTAGTTTTTGATTTTTCGTTATACGTTCATGAATGCCAAAATTGTAGTATTTCTCTCATTTTTTCTAAAAAAGAAGTTAATGAGACAATGACTTTAGAATGTCTTAGATGAATCTTTGAATGTCTTAGATGAATCTTCTACTTATTTTAGGCACGATAAATGGGCAATCTGAAAGCGCAAGGAGAAGAACAATTCATGATTTGGCAATGGATTTCTACATCTTTCAGTAGACCTAGAATCAAGTCAAGCTCGATGAGACGAATTGGAAGAACAGAGCAGTGAAATTTGCATAGATGGAGGATAGATGTTTTTCTTTTATTTTTGGAATAATGAGAAGGCACTAATAAGCTACAAAGTTGTAGGAGGGTTAGCATTCAAAATAAGTGCCTTCTCATTTAATTGAAATAACAAATCAGCGTTCAAATTCATTTGTATATATTGTATCATTTTTAATTTGTATAAGTGAAAATTTTTAATGTTTCTGTTGTTTGGAACACTGATATTTGCTTAGAATTTTCTTTTTATTGAGTATTTTTTCAGTGTTAAAACTTAAAACATTGAAACTTATTTTGCTCAGTTCAGAGCATTAATCGTATTTTTAACACTGAGGAAAATGTATTTTCCGTACAGTTGGTATCGCACATTGAGTGCGACTGACTTTGACTTCTAACTTTTTGTCTTTTTTGCTTTTGTATCTTGAATTTACAGATTTATGATGCATGAAAAGTAAGATCGACCTCTTAGTTGAACTTTAATGGGGAAAGCAAGTTGATTTAACTGCTGCTAAAAAGTGAAAATTTTGCAATAAGCAGATGAGTTTTTGAAAGTAGCATATTTAATGTCGATTTGTTTTTCAATCTAATATTGCAATGAATAATGATTTTGTGATATTATTGTAAGAATTATCACTTGAAGTTTTCGTCGACAGTGATAACTCTAGAGGCAGGCTTGAATTTAAGCTAGTATTTGAATTTTTAAAATGTCTTGTAAGAGGTGCCTTATTATGTGAAGATTGAGAGAAGCAGGGGGTGGAAAGGTCTGCTTTGCACAGTCATGTAAATGCTGAAGAACTTATG